AGTCCACGCTGACCACGTGCTCTTCTCTGCCAGGGAACAGAGAGTGACGGGCACCATCGTCTTCATCCTGACAGGGATCTCCGTCTTCCTGGCTCCCATCCTGAAGGTGAGACTCTGCACCTGAGGAAGCACTGGCCTGATGCCTCGCAGGTGGGAAGAGGGCTCCCGTGTGTCCCCTAAAAAGGCAGGGGATCCTATTGGGCCAGAGAGATGTTTGGCCACCATTGCTGTTTTCTGCGATACTGTGTCTTTTACTAAAAGCACCGGGCAGTCCTCACTGCTCTTCCCCAGCCCTCCCAGGGGGCCACCCTCACCTTCCTGGAGGTCACTCTTTTCTCAGGAAGCTCCATCGAGCTCCATCCTTGCTTCGATCAGGAGCTTCCCAAGCTGGTTGTGTTTCCATGCTGTGGTTGCGGGCTTGCTAGAGGCCTCCTTGCTCACCTATTTTTCTGAAATTTAAAACTTACAGGAGGAGGCTTCTGTCACTGTTCTTGGGGCCTGTTTTCTGCCCCTCCATCTTGCACGACTTGGGCACGTGAGTGACTTTTCTCACTGTTTAAAGCTCCTCTTGCTCCTGTGCCTGCAGATCAGCTGGAAGAGATGGGCTCAAATGGGGGTGCATTTGGAGCCTGCATCCCCCAGAACAGTCTCTCCACTCCAGACACTCATCTGCTCTGGGGGCCAGAACACAATACCACCAACTGAGAGGCGTAAACAATGGACATTTATTTCCGCTCAGTTCTAGGGGTAGATCTTGCTGTGGGCAAGTTCGGTTTCTTCTGAGGCCTCTCTCCCGGGCTCGTGAGTGGCACTCCTCCTCACATGGTCTTTCCTGTGTGTATGCACAGGTCTGCGTCCCAACCCTCTGCTGTTAAAAGAACACCGGTCATATTGAATTAGGCTTCACCCATATGACCTCTTTTTACCTTTATTACCTCTTTAAAAGACCTATATCCAAATTCAGTCACATTGTAATGGACTTTAACATAGGGATTTTGCGGGGACAGGGCGGGTGGATGGGATGGGGACCAATTCAGTGGTCCTTCCCTTAATGCCTGTGAAAGACTTTCCTTTCTTGAATGAAGCTTACTTGTAA